ATATATAAAACAATAAAATTATTGTAAAACAATACAATTGTTTTTCTTGGTTCTTTCAGTAAAAGTCACCACTACCACGTAGAAGGGGAACAATAAAATAATAAAAATATATAAAACAATAAAATTATTGTAAAACAATACAATTGTAATTCTTGGTTCTTTCGGTAAAAGTCACCACCACCACATAGAAGGGGAACAATAAAATAATAAAAAATATATAAAACAATAAAATTATTGTAAAACAATAAAATTGTTATTCTTGGTTCTTCCGGTAAAGTCACCACCACGTAGAAGGGGAACAATAAAATAATAAAAAAATATATAAAACAATAAAATTATTGTAAAACAATAAAATTGTTATTCTTGGTTCTTCCGGTAAAGTCACCACCACGTAGAAGGGGAACAATAAAATAATAAAAATATAAAACAATAAAATTATTATTCTTGGTTCTTCCGGTAAAGTCACCACCACGTAGAAGGGGAACAATACAATAATAAAAATATATAAAACAATAAAATTATTGTAAAACAATAAAATTGTTATTCTTGGTTCTTCCGGTAAAGTCACCACGTAGAAGGGAAACAATAAAATAATAAAAATATAAAACAATAAAATTATTGTAAAACAATAAAATTATTATTCTTGGTTCTTCCGGTAAAGTCACCACCACGTAGAAGGGAAACAATAAAATAATAAAAATATAAAACAATAAAATTATTGTAAAACAATACAATTGTTATTTTTTATTCTTCCGGTAAAGTCACCATGTAGAAGGGAAACAATAAAATAATAAAAATATAAAACAATAAAATTATTATTCTTGGTTCTTCCGGTAAAGTCACCACCACGTAGAAGGGAAACAATAAAATAATAAAAAATATAAAACAATAAAATTATTGTAAAACAATACAATTATTATTCTTGGTGTTCTTCCGGTAAAGCCACCACCACGTAGAAGGGGAACAATAAAATAATTAAAATATATAAAACTTAAAAATTCTCACGACGTTTCGACTGCAACACAACACAAGCAATCATCATCAGGTGGTGAAAACCACAGCAAGAACATTTGAAAAAAGTGGCGTTTTTTTTTTAAAAAGTTAGCACCACGGAGAGCGATTTGACGGTTTTATTCAGATGGACGAGTCCATCTATGTTCGCAAAAGAGGAGGGGGGGGAGACGAGAAATAATGGATGCGGTCTGAAAGCCACCGTAAGCGTGAACAATCAATTAACAACCCGAGATGTTTTTTTTTTAAATCAAATCCTTCCAATGATTGCTCAGCCAGAATCCATCTTCTCGGTTGAAATTGTCTCCGTGTTTGTTTACGCGTGGATAGCCTCGCGAACGAATCTCTCACGGTAGCCGGATGGCTCGCAGAGAACCTCCGTCTTGGAGAAGTCAATGTCACGTGAGCCCACCGAATTAAAACGGTGATGTGCCACGGCCGAGGTGCTGTACCAGGTAGCGCCCATTGAGCTGTAGATTTTTATGTCATAAGCGACCTATCACAAACGACATCTCGACAGTGGCTGATATCATCATCATCATTATCATCACGTGGACATTTATTGCAACAGGCAAATACTTTAAAACGCGCGGTGACATCAATTGCAGATGTGGAGGGGTAAAACCGGAGGAGGGATCACCACCACGGGGAGAGAGAGAGAGACGCAGACACTCCGCGACCTCCTGTGTACCAGGCGAGGTAGTCAACATCTCACAGGGTCTGTGATCGAACCCACGACCTCCTGCATACCAGGCGAGGTAGTCAACATCTCACAGGGTCTGTGATCGAACCACGACCTCCTGCATACCAGGCGAGGTAGTCAACATCTCACAGGGACTGTGATAGAACCCACGACCTCCTGCACACCAGGCGAGGCGGTCAACATCTCAAGACCAGGGGAGAGAGACGCAGACACTCCGAATATAACAGCAGCAGGCATTGTCAAGGTCTGTGATCAAACCCACGACCTCCTGTACACCGGGCGAGGCAATCAACATCTCAAGACCAGGGGGGAGAGAGAGCGACGCAGACACTCCGAATATAACAGCAGGCATTGTCAGGGTCTGTGATAGAACCCACGACCTCCTGTATACCAGGCGAGGTAGTCAACATCTCAAGACCAGGGGGGAGAGAGAGAGACGCAGACACTCCGAATATAACAGCAGCAGGCATCGTCAGGGTCTGTGATAGAACCCACGACCTCCTGCATACCAGGCGAGGTAGTCAACATCTCAAGACCAGGGGAGAGAAAGACGCAGACTCCAAATATAACAGCAGGCATGGTCAGGATCCCTGATAGAACCCACGACCTCCTGTGTACCAGGCGAGGTAGTCAACATCTCATCAGGGTCTGTGATAGAACCCACGACCTCCTGCATACCACGCGAGGTAGTCAACATCTCAAGAGCAGGGGAGAGAGAGAGAGATGCAGACTCCACATATACAGCAGCAGGCATCGTCAGGGTCTGTGATAGAACCCACGACCTCCTGTATACCAGGCGAGGAAGTCAACATCTCAAGACCAGAGGAGAGAGAGAGACGCAGACACTCCGAATATACAACAGCAGGCATGGTCAGGGTCTGATCGAACCCACGACCTCCTGCACACCAGGCGAGGTAGTCAACATCTCAAGACCAGGGGGGAGACGCAGACACTCCGAATATAACAGCAGCCATCGTCAGGGTCTGTGATCAAACCCACGACCTCCTGCATACCAGGCGAGGCAATCAACATCTCGAGACCAGGGGGGAGAGAGAGAGACGCAGACACTCCACATATACAGCAGCAGGCATCGTCAGGGTCTGTGATGGAACCCACGACCTCCTGTGTACCGGGCGAGGTAGTCAACATCTTACAGGGTCTGTGATAGAACCCACGACCTCCTGTGTACCAGGCGAGGTAGTTAACATCTCACAGGGTCTGTGATAGAACCCACGACCTCCTGTGTACCAGGCGAGGCGGTCAACATCTCACAGGGTCTGTGATAGAACCCACGACCTCCTGTGTACCGGGCGAGGTAGTCAACATCTCCTCGCCACTGCGGCGCCCAATGACATCCACGCACCGCCCGGGGGATCGACCGCTAGCGCCGCTGGGAGACGCTGGGCCCGCCTGGGTTCGACTCCGGACCCGGGGCGCCCATCGTTCGGCTCGGCATCAAACGAGTGACCTGGCGCGGTGGTTTGTGGTGAAACGCAGCCAATGGGGGAGAGACAAAGGCGGCCGGGCGTGGTGCCGATGGCCACCCCGCTCTGCGTGTGCCACAGTGCCGGTGGCCCTCATTGGCAGCGCCGCTAGTCGCTACTCACATCACTTGCCCCTACATTCTGCAAGAGGCTACCTGGGGGAGGAACGTTTGTCTGTCTGTGTCTGTACATCATTGGCGCTGCTACTCACGACCAAGGCACTTGGCCTTATGGGGTGCTGGAGGCTACACGGGGAAGCTTTGTCTTTGTACAGGAGGACGTGGGTTTGATCCCGGACCCTAACCCCAGGGTGGCTAGATGTTGACTACCTCGCCTGGTACACAGGAGGTCGTGGGTTCTATCTCAGACCCTAACCCCAGGGTGGATAGGAGATGTTAACTACCTCGCCCGGTACACAGGAGGTCGTGGGGTCTATCCCAGACCCTGATGAGATGTTGACTACCTCGCCCAGTACACAGGAGGTCGTGGGTTCTATCCCGGACCCTAACCCCAAGGTGGCTAGATGTTGACTACCTCGCCCGGTACACAGGAGGTCGTGGGTTCTATCTCGGACCCTAACCCCACGATGGCTAGGAGATGTTGACTACCTCGCCCGGTACACAGGAGGTCGTGGGTTCTATCCCGGACCCTAACCCTACGGTGGATAGATGTTAACTACCTCGCCCGGTACACAGGAGGTCGTGGGTTCTATCCCGGACCCTAACCCTACGGTGGATAGATGATAACTACCTCGCCCGGTACACAGGAGGTCGTGGGTTCTATCCCGGACCCTAACCCCACGGTGGCTAGGAGATGTTGATTACCTCGCCCGGTACACAGGAGGTCGTGGGTTCTATCTCGGACCCTAACCCCAGGGTGGATAGATGTTGACTACCTCGCCTGGTACACAGGAGGTCTTGGGTTCCATCCCGGACCCTAACCCCAGGGTGGATAGATGTTAACTACCTCGCCTGGTACACAGGAGGTCTTGGGTTCTATCCCGGACCCTAACCCCACGGTGGATAGATGTTGACTACCTCGCCCGGTACACAGGAGGTCGTGGGTTCTATCCCGGACCCTAACCCCACGGTGGATAGATGTTAACTACCTCGCCCGGTACACAGGAGGTCGTGGGTTCTATCCCGGACCCTAACCCCAGGGTGACTAGGAGATGTTGACTACCTCGCCCGGTACACAGGAGGTCGTGGGTTCTATCCCGGACCCTAACCCCAGGGTGGATAGATGTTGACTACCTCGCCTGGTACACAGGAGGTCGTGGGTTCTATCCCAGACCCTAACCCCAGGGTGGATAGATGTTGACTACCTTGCCCGGTACACAGGAGGTCGTGGGTTCTATCCCGGACCCTAACCCCAGGGTGGCTAGGAGATGTTGACTACCTCGCCTGGCACACAGGAGGTCGTGGGTTCTATCTCGGACGCTAACCCCACGGTAACTAGGAGATGTTGACTACCTCGCCCGGTACACAGGAGGTCGTGGGTTCGATCCCGGACCCTGACCACGCCTGCTGCTGCTGCTGCTGTAGATTTGGAGTCTGCGTCTCTCTCTCTCTCCTCTCTCTCTCACCCCCACCGCGGGATTTGAGTCCGGGTCCTCTTCCTCCGGCTTTTGAATCCCTCCAACATTCAGCAAACGGACCTCGCCACGCATCTGCGAGAGGCGTCCGGCTGCCGCTTACAAATGCCCGCGGCGGCGGCGATGATGATGATGACGACGATGATGATGATGGCGACGATGATGATGATGAGGTCAGCCGCCTGTTTGACTTGCATGTGGCCACAGCTCAGTAGGGCCCATGGCGACGTGAGCAGAGTTTGGTCTCGTTTGCTGTGCGTGCCCACCGGTGGTGTATTGGGACAGAGATCTCGCGGTGTGCCCTCAAGTGTCTCCGTCTCCCTCAGAGTCCCTCTGCGTCTCGCCGTGTCACTGCACCGTCGTCACAGACGTCCACCGCCTCCACCACCACCACCGCCTCCACCACCGCCATCACCATCACTACCTCCACCACCATCACCACCACCACCATCACCACCACCATCACCACCATCACCATCACTACCTCCACCATCACCACCACCATCACCACCATCATCGCCACCGCCACCACCGCCTCCACCGCCACCACCATCACCACCGCGACCACCATCACCACCATCATCACCACCGCCACCACCACCTTCATCACCACCACCATCACTACCTCCACCACCATCACCACCACCACCACCATCACCACCATCATCACCACCGCCACCACCACCTTCATCACCACCTCCATCGCCACCGCATCCACCGCTACCTCCATCACTACCACCACCGCCATCACCTCCACCGCCATCACCACTACCAACACCACGGCCATCACCTCCTCCATTACCTCCACCGCCATCACCGCCACCACCACCGCCACCACCGCCATCACCGCCATCACCGCCACCACCATCACCACCTCCACCACCATCACCACCACCATCACCACCTCCACCACCATCACCACCACCACAATCACCACCACCACCACCGCCGCCGCCACCACCACCACCATCACCTCCACCACCTCCATCACCACCTCCATCACTACCACCACCGCCATCACCTCCACCACCTCCATCACCACCTCAATCACCACCACCACCTCAATCACCACCACCTCTCTTTCAATGTCTCTCCGTGTGTCTCTCTGTGTCTGTGTGTCTGTCTCTCCGTGTCTCTGTCAGTCTCTCCGTGTCTCTCCGTGTGTCTCTGTGTGTCTCTCCGTGTCTCTCTGTCTGCCTCTCCGTGTCTCTCTGTCTGCCTCTCCGTGTCTCTCTGTGTGTCTCTCTCCGCGTCACCGTCTCACACATCACCACCACCACCGCCACCATCGCCACCACCTCCACCACCGCCCGATCCCAGGTGCAGCAGCGTGAAGACGCTTGTGTAACCGTGGACAATGTCTGTGTGTCTCTGTGTGTCTCTGCGTGTCTCTGTGTCTCTCTGTCTGTCTCCGTCTGTGTCTCTCTGTCTGTCTCCGTCTCTGTGTGTCTCTGTGTGTCCCTGTCTGTCTCTGTATCTGTCTGTCTGTCTCTCTGTCTCTGTGTCTCTCTCCGCGTCTCTCTCCGCGTCACCGTCTCACACATCACCACCACCGCCACCACCGCCTCCACCACCACCACCACCACCACCGCCTCCACCACCGCCACCTCCACCACCACCACCACCTCCACCACCACCACCACCACCTCCCGATCCCAGGTGCAGCAGCGTGAAGACGCTCGTGTAACCGTGGACAATCTGTGTGTCTCTCTGTGTGTCTCTGTGTGTCTCTGTCTGTCTCCGTCTCTGTGTGTCTCTGTGTGTCCCTGTCTGTCTCTGTGTCTCTCTCCGCGTCTCTCTCCGCGTCACCGTCTCACACATCGCCACCACCGCCACCACCACCACCGCCTCCACCACCACCACCACCACCGCCTCCACCGCCTCCCGATCCCAGGTGCAGCAGCGTGAAGACGCTCGTGTAACCGTGGACAATCTGTGTGTCTCTATGTGTGTCTCTGTGTGTCTCTGTGTCTCTGTCTGTCTGTGTATCTGTGTCTCCGTCTCTCTGTCTCTGTGTCTCTGTCTGTCTGTGTGTCTCTCTGTGTCTCCGTCTCTCTGTCTCTGTGTCTCTCTGTGTCTCTCTGTGTCTCTCTGTGTCTCTCTGCGTGTCTCTGTCTGTCTGTGTGTCTCTCTGTGTTTCCGTCTCTCTGTCTCTGTGTCTCTCTCCGCGTCACCGTCTCACACATCGCCACCACCGCCACCACCGCCACCGCCCCCACCACCGCCTCCACCACCTCCACCGCCACCACCCCCTTCACCACCACCACCACCGCCTCCACCTCCACCACCGCCTCCACCGCCTCCCGATCCCAGGTGCAGCAGCGTGAAGACGCTCGTGTAACCGTGGACAATCTGTGTCTCTCTGTGTGTCTCTGTCTGTCTGTGTGTCTCTCTGTGTCTCCGTCTCTCTGTCTCTGTGTCTCTCTGTGTCTCTCTGTGTGTCTCTGTCTGTCTGTGTGTCTCTCTGTGTCTCCGTCTCTCTCCGCGTCACCGTCTCACACATCGCCACCACCGCCACCACCGCCACCACCGCCACCGCCCCCACCACCGCCTCCACCACCGCCTCCACCACCGCCTCCACCACCACCGCCTCCACCGCCTCCCGATCCCAGGTGCAGCAGCGTGAAGACGCTCGTGTAACCGTGGACAATCTGTGTCTCTCTGTGTCTCTCTGTGTGTCTCTGTCTGTCTGTGTGTCTCTCTGTGTGTCTCCGTCTCTCTGTCTCTGTGTCTCTCTGTGTGTCTCTGTCTGTCTGTGTGTCTCTCTGTGTCTCCGTCTCTCTGTCTCTGTGTCTCTCTGTGTCTCTCTGTGTGTCTCTGTCTGTCTGTGTGTCTCTCTGTGTCTCCGTCTCTCTGTCTCTGTGTCTCTCTCCGCGTCACCGTCTCACACATCGCCACCACCACCACCACCACCGCCACCGCCCCCACCACCGCCTCCACCACCTCCACCACCACCACTGCCTCCACCTCCACCACCGCCTCCACCTCCACCACCGCCTCCACCTCCGCCACCACCGCCTCCCGATCCCAGGTGCAGCAGCGTGAAGACGCTCGTGTAACCGTGGACAATCGCGTTGGCACCACGACCGCCGCCGCCGCCGCCGCCGCCGGCCGCCGCCATCTCCCCGCCGGACACCTGCCGTAGGCTGTACCTCCCGGTGGAGATTCGGTCGCAGCCAATCTCGCCCTCGCCGAAGAACCCAAGCAGCGGCGTCCGCGGGAAGACTTCCCGGAAGGCGGCCGCCTCGGCCCCCGCCTCGCCGCCGTAGTGGAACGACCCGCGGCCGACGCAGGCGAACATCAGGCCCAGAGTCCGGCCGTCGTAGACGCCCCCTCCCCCGGTTGTTGTTGCTGTTGCTGTGGTGGAGGCGGTGGAGGCGGCGGAGGCGGCGGCGGAGGAGGCGGTGGAGGCGGAGGAGGCGGTGGAGGCGGTGGCGGAGGAGGCGGTGGAGGCGGAGGAGGAGGCGGAGGAGGCGGAGGAGGGCACGGGGAGGCCCGGGATGGCGAGGCGACGCAGGGTGGCACGTGCGGCCTCCGGCGTGGCCACCGACGTGTCGAGGAGAACCGAGGCGGCCTGCACGTGGGGGCCGCTGAACGAGACGCAGAGCACCCCGCCACCCTCGGGCCTGCCGCGTGGTGGGGGGGGGGTAGTGGGGGGTAGTGGGGGGGGGGTAGTGGGGGGGGGGGGTAGGGGTTGGCAGCATCCCACAGGGTTCAGCGTTAGTCTCTCACGATAGTGATAGTGGAGTGATAGTGTAGTAGCGGTTAGCGCTACGCTGCGCTATGAACCCGGCGACCCGGGTTCGATTCCCGCTCACGGCCAACACCACCGTTGACGGTTATCTGAACCGGTCCCGGGCCTCCCCTAGGTCGACTCAGCCTCAAATGAGTACCTGGTGTAGCGGTGTGTGAATATCGCCACTAGGGAGACAAAGGTGGTCGGGCGTGGTGCTGGCCACCCACCCCCTCGTGTGCCGTTCCGGCCTTCACAGGTGCTCGCTAACAGCACTTGCCCCTACAGTCTGTTAAGGCTATGTGGGGGATCTTTGTCTTTGATCTTTGTGTGTCTCTGTATCTCTCTTGTGTGTCTCCCTGTGTGTGTGTCTCTGTGTATCTCTCTGTGTGTCTCTGTGTGTGTGTCTCTGTGTGTGTCTCTGTGTGTGTCTCTGTGTGCGTGTCTCTGTGTGTGTGTCTCTCCGTGTGTGTATCTCTCTCTGTGTGTTTCTCTGTGTGTCTCTGTATCTCTCTGTGTCTCTGTATCTCTATATCTGTGTGTGTCTCTGTATCTGTGTGTCTGTGTGTGTCTCTCTGTATCTCTCTATGTGTGTATTTCTCTCTGTGCGGGTGTCTCTGTGTGTGTCTCTGTGGGGAGCGATAGTGTAGCGGTTAGCGTACTGCGCTATGAACCTAGCGACCCGGGTTCGATTCCTGCTCACGGCCAACACCAGTGACGATTATCTGAACCGGTCCCGGGCCTCCCCTAGGTTGACTCAGCCTCAAATGAGTACCTGGTGCGGTGTGTAAACATTGCCACTAGGGAGACAAAGGCGGTCGGGCGTGGTGCTGGCCACCCACCCTCTCGTGTACCGTTCTGGCCTTCATAGGTGCTCGCTAACAGCACTTGCCCCTACAGTCTGTTAAGGCTACACGGGGGATCTTTGTCTATCTTTGTCTATCTTTGTCTCTGTATCTCGGTGCGTCGCTGTATCTACGTGTGCGAGTCTATGTATCTGTGTGTCTCTCTGTGTGTCTCCCTGTGTGTGTCTCTGTGTGTCTCTGTGTGTCTCTGTATCTCTGTGTGTGTATCTCTGTGTGTGTATCTCTCTGTGTGTCTCTGTGTGTGTGTCTCTGTATCTGTGTGTGTGTCTCTGTATCTCTGTGTGTGTCTCGGTGTGTGTGTCTCTGTATCTGTGTGTATCTCTCTCTGTGTGTGTATCGGTGTGTGTGTGACATCATAACAACAGTCTGGACCACTGAACGGGTCCCGCAGGATTGGAAGGATAACCTGGTGGTCCCCCTGTTTAAGGGGGACCGCACTGACTGTAACAACTACAGGGGCATCTCACTCCTCAGTGTGCCGGGAAAGGTCCTGGCAAGGATTATTCAACATCGCCTTGCCAGGCACGCTGAGGAGAGGCTTGTGGAGCCCCAATGCGGTTTCAGGAAAGGGCGGGCCTGCACAGATTCCATATTTTCTGTCCGTCTGCTACAGCAGAGTTGTAGGGAATTCCAGCAAGACCTACTGCTTTATTGACCTGGTCAAGGCCTATGATACCATCAGTAGGCCTGGGCTCTGGGTTGTTCTTCATGCTTTTGGAGTCCCTGACCCCCTGCTCACGATCATTAAGGACCTTCATGATGGCGAGCGGGCCCGGGTAAAACTACGTGGCCGGGAGTCAGAGCCATTCCCTGTACACCTTGGGGTGCGACAGGGATGTCCTCTGGCTCCCACATTATTTAACATCTATTTTGACCACGTAGTTCGTGAAGCCTTCAATAGCTGTACCAGGGGAATCTCCATTTGGTACAGACATAATGGGAGGCTGATCGATGCCCGGGTGCGGTCAAGGGATGGCTCCCTATTGCTCAACCACGTTATGTATGCCGATGATTTGGTAATAGCTGCTCATTCAGAGGAGGAGTTGGAGACACTGCTGCTGAGACTGGAGCTTGCCACTAAGAGATGGGGCCTTACCATCAGCCCCACCAAAACTAAGCACCTGCCTAGGTTTTTTGTACCATCGGACACTCCACCCCCACAACTACCAATCGGTGATGGGGCAGTTGTGGAGAGAGTGGAGAGTTTCCCAAACCTGGGCAGTGTGCTTATGACCGGCTCCAGTTTAACAGCAGAGGTCTCACTCCAAACCAGTCGAGCGGCAATATCTTTTCATCGGTTGCGTAACGCTGTGTGGAAGCTACCTGGTCTGTCGCTCCGCACTAAGCTTCAGGCCTTCTCGGCCACGGTAATTCCCTCCCTTCTCTACGCTTGCGAAACGTGGACCCCCTTAATGGAACATCTTCGCCGGTTAGAAACATTTAGGCTGGCCTGCCTACGATCCATCCTGGGTTTAACCAGGCTGGATTGTGTGAGGAGCTCACAAATTCTTGAAAGATCTGGGCAAGGTCCCATTGGTGAGCTCCTCCGGCAGGCAAGGCTGCATTGGCTGGGTCATGTAGCCCGCATGCCCAGCCACCGCATACCGAAATAGCTTTTGTTCGGTCGGATCGAGGGGGCTAAACGGGCGCGGCACAGACTAGAGACGAGATGGAGTGATGTGGTACAGGAGGACGTGGAGCTGAGTGGACTTGCCGATGACCGGTACCAGCGGTGTTAAGATCGGCCTCTGTGGAGGAGGCTCGTGAAGGACGCTGCTACTGGGCAGTTGGAGGCAGTCGCCCTCCAACAACAACGGAGGGCGGAGGAACGATGCTCACAACAACGAACGGAGCGCCGGGTGGCTAAAGCACAGCAAGTTGGCACAGTAGGGGGCACAGGTGGTGCAACAGCCAGTCATCTCAGTCAGTCGACCCGTGGCACCTGGGTCTGCCCCGGGACCTCCTGCCAGTGGGCGTTCGACACTTCACGTGGCCTCAGGGTGCACATGGCCTGGCACAAGCGTCGTGGTGACGTCACCGCCACTTAGTGGCGAATGGCGGTTGTTGTTGTTGTTGTGTGTGTGTCACTGTGTGTGTGTCACTGTGTGTGTGTGTGTCACTGTGTGTCTGTGTGTGTGTCACTGTGTGTGTCACTGTGTGTGTGTGTGTCTCTGTGTGTGTGTCACTGCGTGCGTACACGAGGTGCGATGGCGAGAGGAGGCTGTGGACTTTCCCGCCGGCGATCACGGCACTCTCCGTGTGTCTGTGTGTGTGTCACTGTGTGTGTGTGTCTGTGTGTGTGTGTCACTGTGTGTGTCACTGTGTGTGTCAATGTGTGTGTCACTGTGTGTGTGTGTCACTGTCTGTGTGCCTCTGTCTGTGTGTGTCTCTGTCTGTGTGTGTCACTGTGTGTGTGTGTCACTGTGTGTGTGTGTGAGTCACTGTGTGTGTGTCTGTGTGTCACTGTGTGTGTCACTGTGTGTGTGTCTGTGTGTGTGTCACTGTGTCTGTGTGTGTCTGTGTCACTGTGTGTGTGTGTCACTGTGTGTGTGTCACTGTGTGTCTCACTGTGTGTGTGTCACTGTGTGTGTGTCACTGTGTGTGTCACTGTGTGTGTGTGTCTCTGTGTGTGTGTCACTGTGTGTGAGTGTGTCTGTGTGTGTGTCACTGTGTCTCTGTGTGTGTCTGTGTGTGTGTGTCACTGTGTGTGTGTGTCTGTGTGTGTGTGTCACTGTGTGTCTCTGTGTGTGTGTCTGTGTGTGTGTGTCTGTGTGTGTGTGTCTGTGTGTGTGTGTGTGTGTGTCTGTGTGTCTGTGTGTGTGTGTCACTGTGTCTCTGTGTGTGTCTCTGTGTGTGTGTCACTGTGTGTGTCACTGTGTGTGTGTCACTGTGTGTGTGTGTCACTGTGTGTGTGTCACTGTGTGTGTGTGTCACGGTGTGTGTGTGTCACTGTGTGTGTCACTGCGTGTGTCACTGTGTGTGTGTGTCTCTGTGTGTGTGTGTCACTGTGTGTGTCACTGTGTGTGTGTCACTGTGTGTGTGTGTCTCTGTGTGTGTGTGTGTCACTGTGTGTGTGTGTCACTGTGTGTGTCACTGTGTGTGTGTGTCACTGTGTGTGTGTGTCTCTGTGTGTGTGTGTGTCACTGTGTGTGTCTGTGTGTGTGTCACTGTGTGTCTCTGCGTGTGTCACAGTGTGTGTATCTGCGTGTGTGTCTGTGTGTGTGTCACTGTGTGTGTGTGTCACTGTGTGTCACTGTGTGTGTCACTGTGTGTGTGTGTCTGTGTGTGTGTCTGTCTCTGTGTGTGTGTCACTGTGTGTGTGTCACTGTGTGTCACTGTGTGTGTCTGTGTCACTGTGTGTGTGTGTCACTGTGTGTCACTGTGTGTGTGTCACTGTGTGTGTCACTGTGTGTGTGTCACTGTGTGTGTGTCTCTGTGTGTGTGTCACTGTGTGTGTGTCTGTGTGTGTCTCTGTGTGTGTGTCACTGTGTGGCACAGTGGAAGCTACCTGGTCTGTCGCTCCGCACTAAGCTTCAGGTCTTCTCGGCCACGGTCATTCCCTCCCTTCTCTACGCTTGCGAAACGTGGACCCCCCTAATGGAACGTCTTCGCCGGTTAGAAACATTTAGGCTGGCCTGCCTACGATCCATCCTGGGTTTAACCAGACTGGATTGTGTGAGGAGCTCACAAATCCTTGAAAGATCTGGGCAGGGTCCCATCGGTGAGCTCCTCCGGCAGGCAAGGCTGCGATGGCTGGGTCATGTAGCCCGCATGCCCAGCCACCGCATGCCGAAACAGCTTTTGTTTGGCCGGATTGAGGGGGCTAAGCGGGCGCGGCACGGGCTAGAGAAGAGATGGAGTGATGTGGTACAGGAGGACGTGGAGCTGAGTGGACTTGCCGATGACTGGTACCAGCGGTGTCAAGATCGGCCTCTGTGGAGGAGGCTCGTGAAGGATGCTACTGGGCAGTTGGAGGCAGCCGCCCTCCAACAACAACGGAGGGCGGAGGAGCGACGCTCACAACAACGAGCGGAGCGCCGGGTGGCTAAAGCACAGCAGGTTGGCACAGTAGGGGGCACAGGTGGTGCACCAGCCAGTCATCTCAGTCAGTCGACCCGTGGCACCTGGGTCTGCCCCGTGACCTCCTGCCAGCGGGCGTTCGACACTTCACGTGGCCTCAGGGTGCACATAGCCTGGCACAAGCGTCGTGGTGACGTCACCGCCACTTAGTGGCGAATGGCGGTTGTTGTTGTGTGTGTGTCACTGTGTGTGTGTCACTGTGTGTGTGTGTGTGTCACTGTGTGTGTGTGAGTGTCACTGTGTCTGTGTGTGTGTCACTGTGTGTGTGTGAGTGTCACTGTGTGTGTGTGAGTGTCACTGTGTCTGTGTGTGTGTCACTGTGTGTGTGTGAGTGTCACTGTGTATGTGTGAGTGTCACTGTGTCTGTGTGTGTGTCTCTGTGTGTGTCACTGTGTGTGTGCGTACACGAGGTGCGATGGCGAGAGCAGGCTGTGGACTTTCCCGCCGGCGATGACGGCGCTCTCCGTGTGTCTGTGTGTGTCACTGTGTGTGTGTCACTGTGTGTGTCTGTGTGTGTGTCACTGTGTGTGTCACTGTGTGTGTGTGTCACTGTGTGTGTGTCTGTGTGTGTGTGTCAGTGTGTGTGTTACTGTGTGTGTCACTGTGTGTGTCTGTGTGTGTGTGTCACTGTGTGTGTGTCTCTGTGTGTGTCTCTGTGTGTCACTGTGTGTCACTGTGTGTGTGTCACTGTGTGTGTGTCACTGTGTGTGTCACTGTCTGTGTGTGTGTCACTGTGTGTGTCTCTGTGTGTGTCACTGCATACACGAGGTGCGATGGCGAGAGCAGGCTGTGGACTTTCCCGCCGGCGATGACGGCGTTCTCCGGCTCCAGGAGGCGGAGCAGCTTGTGGCAGAACGTCCAGACGGTGGGGGAGCGGGACTGGTGGCAGAGCACCAGCACAGCACGCAGCTCGGGATCGCCGAGGAGACCTGCGGAGAGAGACACGGGGGGAGAGACACGGGGAGAGAGACACGGGGTGAGAGAGAGACACGGGGAGAGAGACACGGGGTGAGAGAGAGACACGGGGAGAGAGACACGGGGGGAGAGAGACACGGGGAGAGAGACACGGGGGGGGAGAGACACGGGGGGGGGAGACAGGGGGGGGTAGAGAGACACGGTGAGAGAGATATGGGGAGAGAGACACGGGGGGAGAGAGACACGGGGGAGAGAGACACGGGGAGAGAGAGACACGGGGTGAGAGAGAGACACGGGGGGAGAGAGACACGGGGAGAGAGACACGGGGGTGAGAGAGAGACACGGGGGGAGAGAGACACGGGGGGGGAGACAAGGGGGGGGTAGAGAGACACGGTGAGAGAGATATGGGGAGAGAGACACGGGGGGAGAGAGACACGGGGGGAGAGACAGGGGGGGAGAGAGACATGGGGAGAGAGACACGGGGGGAGCGGGACTGGTGGCAGAGCACCAGCACAACACGCAGCTCAGGATCGCCGAGGAGACCTGCGGAGAGAGACACGGGGGGAGAGACACGGGGAGAGACACGGGGGGAGAGAGACACGGGGGGAGAGAGAGACACGGGGGGAGAGAGAGACACGGGGGGAGAGAGACACGGGGGGAGAGACACGGGGAGAGGGAGACACGGTGAGAGAGACACGGGGAGAGGGAGACACGGTGAGAGAGATATGGGGAGAGAGACACGGGGGGAGAGAGACACGGGGTGAGAGAGAGACACGGGGGGAGAGAGACACGGGGAGAGAGACACGGGGAGAGAGACACGGGGAGAGAGACACGGGGGGAGCGGGACTGGTGGCAGAGCACCAGCACAGCACGCAGCTCGGGATCGCCGAGGAGACCTGCGGAGAGAGACACGGGGGGAGAGACACGGTGAGAGAGACACGGGGGGAGAGAGACACGGGGAGAGAGACACGGGGTGAGAGAGACACGGGGGGAGAGAGACACGGGGAGAGAGACATGGGGGGAGAGAGACACGGGGTGAGAGAGAGACACGGGGGGAGAGAGACACGGGGGGAGAGAGACACGGGGAGAGAGACACGGGGGGAGAGAGACACGGGGAGAGAGACACGGGGTGAGAGAGAGACACGGGGAGAGAGACACGGGGTGAGAGAGAGACACGGGGAGAGAGACACGGGGGGAGAGAGACACGGGGAGAGAGACACGGGGGGGGAGAGACACGGGGGGGGGAGACAAGGGGGGGTAGAGAGACACGGTGAGAGAGATATGGGGAGAGAGACACGGGGGGAGAGAGACACGGGGAGAGAGAGACACGGGGGGAGAGAGACACGGGGTGAGAGAGAGACACGGGGGGAGAGACACGGGGGGAGAGAGACACGGGGGGAGAGAGACACGGGGGGAGCGGGACTGGTGGCAGAGCACCAGCACAGCACGCAGCTCGGGATCGCCGAGGAGACCTGCGGAGAGAGACACGGGGGGAGAGACACGGTGAGAGAGACACGGGGGGAGAGAGACACGGGGGGAGAGACACGGTGAGAGAGACACGGGGGGAGAGAGACACGGGGGGAGAGACACGGTGAGAGAGACACGGGGGGAGAGAGACACGGGGGGAGAGACACGGTGAGAGAGACACGGGGTGAGAGACACGGGGTGAGAGAGAGACACGGGGGGAGAGAGACACGGAGGGAGAGAGACACGGGGAGAGAGACACGGGGGGGGAGAGACACGGGGGGGGGGGAGACAAGGGGGGGGTAGAGAGACACGGTGAGAGAGATATGGGGAGAGAGACACGGGGGGAGAGAGACACGGGGGGAGAGAGACACGGGGAGAGAGAGACACGGGGTGAGAGAGAGACACGGGGGGAGAGAGACACGGGGGGAGAGAGACACGGGGGGAGAGAGACACGGGGAGAGAGAGACACGGGGTGAGAGAGAGACACGGGGGGAGAGAGACACGGGGAGAGAGACACGGGGGTGAGAGAGAGACACGGGGGGAGAGAGACACGGGGGGGGAGACAAGGGGGGGGTAGAGAGACACGGTGAGAGAGATATGGGGAGAGAGACACGGGGGGAGAGAGACACGGGGGGAGAGAGACACGGGGAGAGAGAGACACGGGGGGAGAGAGACACGGGGAGAGAGACACGGGGGTGAGAGAGAGACACGGGGGGAGAGAGACACGGGGGGGGGAGACAAGGGGGGGGGAGAGAGACACGGTGAGAGAGATATGGGGAGAGAGACACGGGGGGAGAGAGACACGGGGGGAGAGAGACACGGGGGGAGAGAGACACAGGGGGAGAGAGACACGGTGAGAGAGACACGGGGGGAGCGGGACTGGTGCCAGAGCACCAGCACAGCACGCAGCTCGGGATCGCCGAGGAGACCTGCGGAGAGAGACACGGGGTGAGAGAGAGACACGGGGGGAGAGAGAGACACGGGGGGAGAGACACGGGGTGAGAGAGAGACACGGGGGGAGAGACACGGGGTGAGAGAGAGACACGGGGGGAGAGACACGGGGTGAGAGACACGGGGTGAGAGAGAGACACGGGGTGAGAGACACGGGGTGAGAGAGAGACACGGGGGGAGAGACACGGGGTGAGAGAGACACGGGGGGAGAGAGACACGGGGGGAGAGAGACACGGGGGGAGAGAGAGACGGGGGGAGAGAGACACGGGGGGAGAGAGACACGGGGGGGGGGAGGAGACACGGGGGGAGAGAGACACGGGGGGAGAAAGACGCGGGGGGAGAGAGACACGGGGGGAGAGAGACACGGGGGGAGAGAGACACGGGGGGAGAGAGACACGGGGGGAGAGAGACACGGGGGGAGAGAGACACGGGGGGAGAGAGACACGGGGGGAGAGAGACACGGGGGGGGGGAGACACGGGGGGAGAGAGACACGGGGGGAGAGAGACACGGGGGGAGAGACACGGGGAGAGGGAGACACGGGGGGAGAGAGACACGGGGAGAGGGAGACACGGTGAGAGAGATATGGGGAGAGACACGGGGGGAGAGAGACAGGGGGGGAAAGACAGGGGGGAGAGAGACACGGTGAGAGAGATATGGGGAGAGAGACAAGGGGGGAGAGACACGGGGGGAGACACGGGGGGAGAAAGAGACACGGGGGGAGAGAGACACGGGGGGAGAGGGACACGGGGGGGGGGAGAGAGACACGGGGGGAGAGACACGGGTGGGGAAAGAGACGGGGAGAGAGACACGGAGGGAGAGAACCACGGGGGGAGAGAGAGACACGGGGGGAGAGACAAGGGGGGGGAGAGACACGGGGGGAGAGACACGGGGGGAGACAGAGACACGGGGGGAGAGACAAGGGGAGAGAGACACGGGGGGAGAGAGACGGTGAGAGAGAGATGGGGAGAGAGAGACACGGGGGGAGAGAGACACGGGGGGGGGGGGGGAGAGAGACACGGTGAGAGAGAGACACGGGGAGAGAGAGACACGGTGAGAGAGACACGGGGGGAGAGAGACACGGGGGGAGAGAGACACGGGGAGAGAGAGACACGGGGGGAGAGAGAGACACGGGGGGAGAGAGAGACACGGTGAGAGAGACACGGGGGGAGAGAGACACGGGGGGAGAGACACGGGGGGAGAGAGACACAGGGGGAGAGAGAGACAAGGGGGGAGAGAGAGACACGGTGAGAGAGACACGGGGGGAGAGAGACACGGGGGGAGAGAGACACGGGGGGAGAGAGACACGGGGGGAGAGAGACACGGGGAGGGGGAGACACGGGGGGAGAGAGACACGGGGGGAGAGAGACACGGGGGGAGAGACACGGGGAGAGGGAGACGCGGTGAGAGAGATATGGGGAGAGACATGGGGGGAGAGAGACAGGGGGGGAAAGACAGGGGGGAGAGAGACACGGTGAGAGAGATATGGGGAGAGAGACAAGGGGGGAGAGACACGGGGGGAGAGATACACGGGGGGAGAGAGAGACACGGGGGGAGAGAGACACGGGGGGAGAGACACGGGGAGACACGGGGGGAGAGACACGGGGGAACAGAGACATGGGGGGAGAGACACGGGGGGGGGAGAGAGACACGGTGAGAGAGACAAGGGGGGAGAGACACGGGGGGAGAGAGACACGGGGGGAGAGACACGGGGGGAGAGACACGGGGGAGAGACACGGGGGGAGAGAGACACGGGGGGAGAGACACGGGGGGAGAGAGACACGGGGGGAGAGAGAGACACGGGGGGAGAGAGACGGTGAGAGAGATATGGGGAGAGAGAGACACGGGGGGAGAGAGACACGGGGGGGGGGGGGGAGAGAGACACGGTGAGAGAGAGACACGGGGAGAGAGACACGGGGGGAGAGAGACACGGGGGGAGAGAGACACGGGGAGAGAGAGACACGGGGGAGAGAGAGACACGGGGGGAGAGAGAGACACGGTGAGAGAGACACGGGGGGAGAGAGACATGGGGGGAGAGACACGGGGGGAGAGAGACACGGGGGGAGAGAGACACGGGGGGAGAGAGAGACACGGGGGGAGAGACACGGTGAGAGAGACAGGGGGGGAGAGAGACACGGGGGGAGAGAGACACGGGGGGAGAGAGACACGGGGGGAAGAGACACGGGGGGAGACACGGGGGGGGGAGACACGGGGGGAGAGAGACACGGGGGGAGAGAGACACGGGGGGAGAGACACGGGGAGAGGGAGACACGGTGAGAGAGATATGGGGAGAGACACGGGGGGAGAGAGACAGGGGGGGAGAGACACGGGGGGAGAGAGAAACGGTGAGAGAGATATGGGGAGAGACACGGGGGGAGAGAGACAGGGGGGGAAAGACAGGGGGGAGAGAGACACGGTGAGAGAGATATGGGGAGAGAGACAAGGGCGGAGAGACACGGGGGGAGAGAGACACGGAAGGAGAGAGAGACACGGGGGGAGAGAGACACGGGGGGAGAGAGACACGGGGAGAGAGACACGGGGGGAGAGACACGGGGAGACAGAGACACAGGGGGGGGGAGACACGGGGGGAGAGAGAGACACGGTGAGAGAGACACGGGGGGGAGAGAGACACGGGGGGAGAAAGACATGGGGGGAGAGACGCGGGGGGAGAGACATGGGGGTAGAGACACGGGGGGAGAAAGACACGGGGGGAGAGAGATACGGGGAGAGAGAGACACGGGGGGAGAGAGACACGGGGGGAGAGAGACACGGGGGGAGAGAGACACGGGGAGAGAGAGAGACACAGGGGTAGAGAGAGACACGGGGGGAAAGAGAGAGACACGGGGGGAGAGACACGGGGGGAGAGAGACACGGTGAGAGAGAGACACGGGGGAGAGAGACACGGGGGAGAGAGACACGGTGAGAGAGAGACAGGTAGAGACACACAGAGACACACAGAGACAGGTAGAGACACACAGAGACACACAGAGACAGGTAGAGACACACAGAGACACACAGAGACAGGCAGAGACACAGAGACACACAGAGACAGGTAGAGACACACAGAGACGCACAGAGACACACAGAGAGAGGTAGAGACACAGAGAGACACACAGAGACAGGTAGAGACACACAGAGACACGCAGAGACAGGTAGAGACAGGTAGAGACACACAGAGACACACACAGAGACACACAGAGACACACAGAGACAGGTAGACACGTAGAGAGACACACAGAGACACACAGACACACACAGAGACAGTTAGAGACACACAGACACACACAGAGGCACCCAGAGACACACACAGAGACACACAGAGACACATAGACACACACAGAGACAGTTAGAGACACACAGACAAACACAGAGACACACAGAGACACACAGAGACACACAGACACACACACACACACAGAGACACACACAGAGACACACACAGAGACACACACACAGACACACACACAGACACACACAGAGACACACAGAGACACTCAGAGACACACACAGAGACACACACAAAGACGCACAGAGACAGGTACACACACACAGACACACACAGAGACACACACACACACACAGACACACACAGAGACACACACACACACAGAGACACCCAGAGACACACACAGACACACACAGAGACACACACACAGACACACACAGGGACACACACAGGGACACACACACAGACACACACAGAGACACACACAGACACACACACAGACACACACAGACACACACAGACACACAGACACACACACAGAGAGAGGCAGTCACCAGCTTCCTGCAGCTTGACTCTAAGGCCTTTGTCTCCTCACAGAGACACACAGAGACACACACAGAGACACACAGAGACACACAGAGACAGTTAGAGACACAGAGACACACACAGACACACACAGAGACACACAGACACACCCAGACACACACAGAGACACACAGAGACACACAGACACACACAGAGACAGTTAGAGACACAGAGACACACACAGAGACACAAAGACACACCCAGACACACACACACAGAGACACACACAGAGACACACAGAGACA